CGTAAAAACTTTATTTTCTACTGCATTCAACCCATTTAATCCAATTAACTCTGTTAATTCGAAAGACTGCCGTGGCGCGTATTGCTAAGGTTGTTTGAGGGCGGCGCTTATATTGTATTTTTCGAAAGAGCTCCCCGGTGCTTTGTGTCCCGACTTAAAATCGAGTATATATGGTTTTCATAGCATTAAGGTCGTTTAATTACATTAGTGATCAATTCTTATTACACTTGAGGGCTTAATTACATTTGTAGTCAATTATAGCCAAATTCGTTGTATCGCGCTGCGCGTTTTACAAACTTCGAAGGAATTTTGGGTCTTTCTGTTCCGTCAATCACCTTAGCGGACCTCTTAGGAAACAAATGTTTACTTCTGATTGATGCATTTCCATCCACTTTGTTTCTGTGTTTCAAGGTTCGCTGCTTGTGATCGCCCTGTTTCGCATTGTTTCAGGCTGCGATCGACTAGTTTTCTCGGTAACATACGCTGCTATTAATTTTCGGCCGCCATGTTGGTGCCTCTCAGAGGTGTAACAACTTGGCGTCACCACACAAAAGCTTTATAAAATTAGATTAAATATATCTCCGAATATCTCGCATGTGAAAAATTGCACCGACTTGAAGCACATCGAGATCCTTTGTATATTAAACGTCTTTCATTTCCTAGATTCTGGACTTAATCTATTGAACGGTTTTGGTTTTTATTTTCGATGGCGTGACAGTGAAAAACAGCTATACGTACTTCTGGTACAAAAGGCGAACATGACTTTCTAAATGTTGTAGCTAAAGCGAATTTTCCTCATCACTGTCCACTTAATAATCATAGGATTGCTGTCAGTTATTTGATTGACTTGTGTACGTTTCCTCATTGCCGGAACTTACACTGTACCTGAAATTTCCAGCCTGATGTGACACCGTTTTACTCCGAAATCAGCCAAAAATATAGGTTTGGACTCAATGAAGATATGCTACCAGTGACCTCGAACAACAGTGTAGCTTATTGGTTCCTTTTTCTTTACAGTAATAAATTCTACATGGAAAAAATGATCAACCAGAGTCTCATCGTTGTCTTTAGATAGATACTTTCGTATTCCAGGAAAAAGCACACGCCAGCTAATACTACATGTAAGTACCCTTAAACCACAATGAGCACAGGGCTGACTAACAATGTAAACATATTATCCCGATGATATAATTGTGCAGCTTTCATAAGCTGCGAATAAATTTACCTGCTGGGCACTCTATGCATTTGATGGTTTCAGCAGAAGCATTAACGTATGTTCCAAATTCACATGGAAGTAGTTCATAACGTCCAACAATTTTCTTGGCAAATCCAGATTGTTTAAAAGCCGCTTTTATTTGATACCTAACCGAAACATCATTTTCAGAAGTGACGATATCAGAAATGACGCTATATTCAGAATCTTTCTGTCCTAATCCCCTAATGTAAAAACAAAAATTATGAAAAGAAAAATCAATCACAATCTAAGAGCTAGTGACAGAGAAAAAATAACTGCACATATTCCGATTTCTGATATCCTTGTTGTTGTAATGATGAATTCACTCACAGATGAATTGTGCAGTTATGTTCGTCATCATTGAATTTCATAATCCCAATTTTTCCTTCATAAAAACTTCTATTGAAAAAAGAGATAAAAAGATGATAGGAGTCATAATCAAATAAGATCCTTGTTTCAAGAATAACTTTGCACCCAAACTCACATGACAAAGAGCCCGGCCGCAAAAGACCAGACCATAGACCATACTTACATATCAATCGTAAGGTTGTCAATGCCGTAAAAAGATCGGAGACTGACAGTCTTTATTTTTGTTCGTATCATATATCTTAAACAAAAAAAGGAAGAAACAGTATATGATTATGGTCCATCTCCGAATTTTCAAGGTTTTGATTTTTTAACATCGTATGTGAATCTGTAATGTATTCTTTTTTTTTTTTCAAGTCAAAATAAAAGAAGAAGAAGAAGAAGAACCGGCAAAAAAAAATGCGACTCAGAGTTTACAAGCTTTGTATTATATTTTCCTACAAGAAGAATAGAGATATTTTAATTTCGCTTTGTGGTCAAGAGAGTAGTGTTATAGAGCAGTGTCTAGCTACGAAGAGTAAAGTCCAAAGGAACCACTTAGTTTTTTTCTTAAGTACAGGTTTTACTATAGCCTGGTCTACACCAATGACGGCAATATTAGCAACAGTAATTGGAAAAATTAAAAATAACAAAACAAAACAAAAAAGAAAGTATAAAAGCAGACTACTGACATACAACTGTATTCTACAAAGTTTTGGTTTTGAGCGATTTCATTATTATTACCAAACTTTATCTTTTACACCTACTCGTTCCTGAAATGCTTCCCACTTTTGTTAATTCACTCTCCGCATTTTTTCCTTAGTCCTGTTCCTTTGATTTAGTTTCCTTATTTGTTGCCTGTTTATTGGATTATATTTTCCCTGTTTATCATGAAAGAAGGGAAGGATCTCCACCTCTTCCACCTGACTTTGAACGCACGTAAAAGTGAATAAACTTAGAATCATCCCTGTAGTGTATTAGGACCCAGATTCCCCCTCAGTAGTGCATGGAACGCCCGACTGTAGTTGTTAAGGACCACGAGTCGTGAAGGCGGAATAAAAGTAATCGTTTAAGGTTCAATCCGTTGTAATCTTTCGTTATTTACCGACTAGTTCGGTCCCAACAATCCCCACCAATCACGTGATTTGTAGTAGATGTGCGCGTGACCTTTATGATCGATGCGTCAGTAAAACTTATGATACTCAGGACCAAAAAAAAAAAAACACGTAAATGCGAAACATAGCAAGAGAATCTATGTTGCACACAAAGAAAGCAAGTATACATCGAAACTAATGTACATCAGTTGAAGAAAGCTTTCGAGTTGCTTGCCAAAATTATGAAGTAAAATTTAAAGTCAAGACAACCGCTTATTCCAGAATTTTTTTTAGAAAGGGTCCTGAAAGGGGGGGCGGGGGGATGTGGGGAGGGTACCTTATACCAGTTCTCAGCCTGACGTTAGTCCAAATCCCAGTTACCAAATCTGTAATCCCAATTCCAGTGCTCGCTGATGCGCATCATGAAGTAAAAGCGTTGATTGATGCCATTTGGATTATGAACCTTCATTCACCTGGACTGAAGAAAATTACTCATCCTGCTGGTGAACACTCCTCCTCTTCCAACCCTTGTTGACACCACCATATTAAAACCACCTGTCTTCTGCACAATTCTCATCCGAATCACAGTCTTCACTTTATTTTTCGCTATCGCTGTAATCATTACGTTGAGAACCTCTGCGGGTAGCCTACGCAGCAAGAGTTTCCGCNTCCTGTTCCTTTGATGTAGTTTCCTTATTTGTTGGCTATTTATTGGATTATTTTTTTCCCTGTTTATCATGAACGAAGGGAAGGGATCTCCACCTCTTCCACCTGACTTTGAACGCACGTAAAAGTGAATAAACTTAGAATCATCCCTGTAGTGTATTAGGACCCAGATTCCCCCTCAGTAGTGCATGGAACGCCCGACTGTAGTTGTTAAGGACCACGAGTCGTGAAGGCGGAATAAAAGTAATCGTTTAAGGTTCAATCCGTTGTAATCTTTCGTTATTTACCGACTAGTTCGGTCCCAACAATCCCCACCAATCACGTGATTTGTAGTAGATGTGCGCGTGACCTTTATGATCGATGCGTCAGTAAAACTTATGATACTCAGGACCAAAAAAAAAAAAACACGTAAATGCGAAACATAGCAAGAGAATCTATGTTGCACACAAAGAAAGCAAGTATACATCGAAACTAATGTACATCAGTTGAAGAAAGCTTTCGAGTTGCTTGCCAAAATTATGAAGTAAAATTTAAAGTCAAGACAACCGCTTATTCCAGAATTTTTTTTAGAAAGGGTCCTGAAAGGGGGGGCGGGGGGATGTGGGGAGGGTACCTTATACCAGTTCTCAGCCTGACGTTAGTCCAAATCCCAGTTACCAAATCTGTAATCCCAATTCCAGTGCTCGCTGATGCGCATCATGAAGTAAAAGCGTTGATTGATGCCATTTGGATTATGAACCTTCATTCACCTGGACTGAAGAAAATTACTCATCCTGCTGGTGAACACTCCTCCTCTTCCAACCCTTGTTGACACCACCATATTAAAACCACCTGTCTTCTGCACAATTCTCATCCGAATCACAGTCTTCACTTTATTTTTCGCTATCGCTGTAATCATTACGTTGAGAACCTCTGCGGGTAGCCTACGCAGCAAGAGTTTCCGCCTGAGGTCTTCGAAAAAGTTGGGACGAAAGCATAACAAAGAAGGGGGAGGGGAAAAGGAAACGCTTTCCCCGAAACTCCACAATTCCGAAAAATGCATACGCAGCTTCTGATTGGTGCGGTGCTGGTTGTGTTGATTAAAAAATGATTAATGTATCAATTATACCAGGTATGTTTTGTTCACCTGTGTCGCGGATGAAAGTGTTTAGACTGTTATTTATTTGAATCGTTTTTGTGCCAAAATTTAACAAATTTGAGCTGAAGGGAAGTCTTGCTAGCATCGTTGTTATTTCACCATAATGCGTACAAAAAAGACCCTGGGGAAGAGCCACAACAGCTAATTGGGTGGCGGCGAGGCATTGGATGCGAATGCGAAAAAATTGACATGATCCTATGTGTCTACTGAGGTCTACGTGTATATATTATTTCTTTTACTTAAAAAAAAGGATAGGCACACTTGAGCAATTGTCTCATATATAACATAATCGAAGATCGTGAAAGGATAGAAATCCCATTTCCCTTGGTTTTAGAAATGGTTTATGCCTTTCCCAGTGCAGTAAATCCCATTTTCCCAGTACATAAAAAGGCGAATCCCAGTTCCCATTTTACACCTTCAGGACCCTCTATAGATAATATCAGAAAATGGGGACTTATTTCAGAAATCAAACATTAAAAAACAGAATCCAGTACAAGAAGTGGATAGTAAGACATTGTTTTTA